TGAGTTACAAAGAGAAGAGCAGACACAAGAAACACACACAAGGGAAAGATGCAAAGGAATGCCAAGCACTGCAGGCAGCCACCAGAAACTAGGAGAGGCTGAGACCCTGGTCTGAACTTTTAGCCTCCAGGACCGTAAGAAAATAAATTTCTGTTCTTTAAAGTCACCTACTGTAATATGTTTTCCTTGTGGCAGTACTAGGTAACTGAGACAGTGCTTCAGGAACTTCCTCTTATACATCTGGTAAGTGCCTACTTAACTGTCAAATCCCCACTTCATGCCGTTTCCTCTGGGTGTGTTCTGACTCCACGTCCACCTAAGGCAGAGTTGCTTCTGCCTCCTCAATGCACCCACAGGACTTTAGGGACTCTGTGAGATCACATTATATTGTGGTTTTTGCTTATACACCTGTGTCTCCTGCTGGACGACCAGCTCCTCAAAGACAAGGTTGAATTCCAGTTTTCTGGTCATTCCCAATGTTGGGTTGCAACAAAGATAAGAGGAGATGATGCGTGTAAAGCACTTAGCACTGAGACAGGCACACTAATCACCCATGAATTTGGGCTCACATGTTATTCTTCACCTGTTTATCCTGCTGTTGGGCCCAGAACAGGTGCTCATGAGGATTTGCTGCACTGAATAGCAAGGTAGGGGTGTGTCTCACACATTTCTAGCCTGGTAAGCCCCAATGCATATGAAGTGAAAAGAGTTGAATAACCTGCCCTAGGAAGAAGAGGGGAGAAAGAGCCCCAAGAGGAGGAAGGGGCAGAAGAGCCACAGTCAAGCATCGAGGCCCACTCACCTTGCCAAGAAACCCATAGGCTTTCTGCCCTTAGGACAGATCCCAATTCTGCCACCGGCTTCCTCTAGTCTTGCTCTTGCCTGTCCATAACAGACAACAAGAGCATGGCTACGCTTAAAATATGACCCACCATGATGGAGGCATGAACCTAGTAGAAAAAATCCCAGGATACCCATGGGAGGCAATCAAGCAGGCAGCGAGGAAGCCGGGCCCTCTCTCCCCAGCACTGGGGCAGTGCCACTTCCACCAAGAACCCTGAAGACACTGGCAGGCTGCGCCTCCTCTTCAAACGTAAAAGAGAGTGCTTCTGTTTGAAAGAGAAGCCACAGCAAAGGCTCCAGCCCAGAGCCATCTCCACAGGAGCCCCTCCCTGCCCGTCACCTCCTCCCTCAATCAGTTGTCTCTGAAATCGAAATAACTGGCGTGCTATGGCCTTCCTGTTCTTATCTGAGGCACTGAGGCACTGAGGCACTGAGGCACTGAGGCACTGAGGGGGAGTCAGGAGTCACTAGGCAGTAAAAAGTTCAAACAGCATCCTTCAATAGACTTCCAACCAGAGGGGTATGATGATACAGCACCACTGCCCCTTCCCACACTGCTGCTCTTGGGAAGAACTCATTCCTCTTCTCTGCAGTACAGTGTTTTGTCCGCTGTAGTATAAGGGGCAGTGGTGGACATGGAAGCCAAAGCTTTCAAGGGATTTGAAGTTTGGGCAGTGCCTTGTGGGATGAGGGAGTAGGCCTACTCCAGGAGCAGGATGAGGAGTACAGATCCTCCCTCAGTGGACTGTGAGTGAATCAGTGTTTCGGCCACAGGAACTTGCTTTATCATCATACCCCTCTGGTCAAAGTCTGTTGAAGGATGCCATTTGAACTCTTTACTGCCTAGCAACTCCTGACAGCAGGAGCTGTGGTGGCGTAGTGCCTAAGGCACTTGACTGCTAACCAGAAGGCTGGCAGTTCAAACCCACCAGCCACTCCTCAGAGGGAAGATTGGGCAACTACTTCCATAGTGACACCGCCTCGGAGACCCAAGGAGGGGTCGCTGTGAGTTGAATCAACTCAACGGCAGTTGAGTTTTTAATACTACAGCACTCAGTGTGGCAGACAAGTGTGCCCTCCAGCACTGGGCTTCTTCACAGAGAGCCCCTGACCTGGTTGATACCCTCTTTCTCCCCCTGCCTCCAGACACTGGCCTGGAGCATGGCAGAGCTCCAGGGTAGGGTGAGTAAATGAAAGGCCCCAGACAACACCCCACCATCCATTTTCTATCTTCCTGTCCTCCTCTGGAAAGCAAACATGCAATTCCAATTAGATACAACACTAGGGGACCCTTAAGCTAAGTAAGGCAGGTGGCCTGGAAGGGGAGCCCTGGTCGAGGAGGTGAAGACTTGGGTTCCCATCTTGGAGCTGCGGCTCTGAGATACTGAATAAGTCCCTTCCCCTCCTTGACTTTCCTTTTCCATCCATGAAATGAGGTGGCAAAGACAGTGCTAATATTTCATGGGAGATTCTTTTAATGGCCTATGGGCTAAATCTAGCTTGCACATGTGTTTTATTGGCTTGATATTACGTAAAAATTGTGAAACTCATAAAAATCCAGATGTCTAGCTTCTATTAAGTAAAATAACCAGAAGAGTTGACTGTTGTTGTTATGTGCCATCATGTCGGCCCCCACTCATAGCGATCCCACCTTGGGTTTCCGAGGCAGTATCACTACGGAAGTAGATTGCCCCATCTTCCTCCTGAGGAGTGGCTGGTGGGAAGAGTTGACTACACAAGTCCATTTTCGTACATGGCACACCTGGCTGAAGCTGACTAGTAGCTGCTCCTTCTAGACAAGCAATATACTCTTTCATTTGCCACAGTCTCCACCATTCCCTATTGTAATATACCCAATTGGAATCACCCATTATTGACATACTTAATGTCTCTTCAGCACTTCGATTTAAAATCCCTGAATTTTGGCTCTCAACTTTGGCTGCCAGCACTTCAGAATGACCAATGTAGGTTTTAACAAATGCCTAGACCCAAGGCTAGGAGCTCTGGTAGCACAGTGCCTAAGGCACTTGACTGCTAACCAGAAGGCTGGCGGTTCAAACCCACCAGCCACTCCTCGGAAGGAAGGTTGGGCAATCTACTTCCATGGTGATACCTCCTCAGCAACCCAAGAAGGGGTCGCTATGAGTCGGGGCCGACTCGACGGCACACAACAACAGACCCAAGCCTATGCCCAGATATTTTGATTCAACTGGTCTTAGGGGGCATTGGTGGGTGTAGAAAAGCTCCTCAGGTGATTCTAATGCCAGCCAGGGATGTGAACTACTGGTCCAGTAGTGGCTGTGAGGACCTGTCTCCCCATGTAAAGAAGCAGACACCAGGAAAGGAAGGGTGGGGAAAGCAGGCCAGGTTAAAAGCACACACAGGTACCTCTGAAGATACAAGCTGTGCACTAGGGTCACCACCACTGGCACTGTCACCAGTTATAAGCACTTTAGCTTTTCTAGAATAGATGCAATGAGTTCTGAGGGCTTCTTCACTCAGACCACTCCTTCCTCCCTGTCCTTTTGTTAAACAGCCACTGTACAAATTGCTGCCCACCCCTGGACTGTGTTTGCTAATCCATGCCTCTCTCTCTTTCTGAGCCCCACCCAATGCCCACATCTCCTCGAGGAAGCCTGCCCAGCCTAAAATCAGCTACAAGAGAGATACTGGTTATAGTCTCTCTCACTTCATCAGCATTTTTGGTTGCTTCTCTAAACAAATCTTAGACCTTTGTCATGGTTCTATCACATAGAGAACTCCAGAAGGCAGAAATTTCCTCTCCTGTGCCTCCTGTGGGAGCTCTGGTAGCACAGTGCCTAAGGCACTTGACTGCTAACCAGAAGGCTGGCGGTTCAAATCCACCAGCCACTCCCTGGAAGGAAGGTTGGGCAATCTACTTCTGTAGTGATACTGCCTCGGAAACCCAAGGAGGGGTCACTATGGGTCGGGTCCGACTCCACGGCAATGGTTGCATTGCATTTTTTGGTTTGTGCCTCCTGTGCCCTCCCCAAATTTCCCACCCCACCAGTTCCTAAGCACATACCAAGGCCGCAGCTCCAACCTGTGGGTCACTGCAGGGGTCAGTCAGTCCATTGTGTTCGTCCATCCAGAGGATCCATTTGAGAAGACTCTGAAGTGCCCATCTGATGGCTTCCTGTCCATCTCCCTGCTTATACCTCTGCCCACTTGCTCTGTATGTGCCCAGCAGAGAAAATGCCAACATCCCTGGCATCTGTTATTGCTGAACTGAGGGAGCTACTTGGGAGGACAATGTTCGATCGAGGGAGATAAGGGGCCTTGATCAGGACTACTGAGAAATAACTACCCCTGGGCCTCAGGACCTCAAATACTTGCTGTCTGTTCAGAACAAGAGGCACTCCAGGGTCTACACCCTGCCCCTGGGTGTGGCAGTTAAGGTTATGTGCCAATTTGGCTGGGCCTGGTTTTGAGTGGTTGGGCAGCTGGTTGTAGTTATTCCCCATGATGAGACTGGTAATCAACTCCATGGTGGAATCTGCCACGAGCAGCTGAGTAACTGCCTTAGGGATGTGGTCTGCTTCCAGTATAAGGAGAAGCTTTGGGAATTCACTGCAGCTTTTAGCACACTTGGACCCAGAATGTAGCTGAGTCTTCATTCACCAGTCTGCCATGTTTCCTGCCGATCTTGGGACCATCTCTGGACTTGAACTAGTGGTAATCTTGGGACTGTGCCATTTTACTTGTCGACCTTGGGTTTGTCAGCCTCAGCAGCCAGCAGTTGCCTGAGTGAAGAGATGCCTCCAGCTCCAGTGGGTCAGGAGCAAGAGGCAGAGCTGAAGCCCAAGGTCGAGGGGCTTTCACCCAGCCCCTAGAGGTGGCACTTTGAACTCGGACTTCTAGCCTCCTAAATCGTAAGAGAATAAACTCCTGTTTGTTAAAGCCACCTATTTGTGGTATTTTCTGCTAGAGCAGCACAAAGTAACCAAAACACTGGGTCAGTGTGATTCACCAGCCAGCCAGATGCAGGAGCAGCACCGACAGGGAGGACACAGGTCATCCTCAAAGCCTATCCTGGGAATGATTTCATGGGTCTAGCTGACCAGTGACTGACAGAAAGAGAGCCTAAAGGATTAAGGGTGGTCACGCCCTCCTGGCCTGCACTGCCCAGGGCCTACCTCGTAGCTGACTGAACGTGGTCATAAACTTGCTGGTGAGGGACTTGAGCTCATTGTTGGCAAGCGTGATGAGGTGGATCTGGTCGGAGACATTCCGCAAGACCTTGTAGATGCCGATGGGGAAAGAAACCAGCTTGCACTCGGCCAGGTCTGCAGCCAAAGGACAAAGACAGGCCAGAGTTATCAGCTGCAGAGGCCCAAGAACCTGCCCCAAACCCACAGAGATACCATCTCCCATCCAAGCCTCCCTACCTGTCTCCCCTATGCTAGATGTAAGACCCTGCCATACTCTTCCAGGAACCTTCCCAGCACCATTATCTCACACCTGTCCCTCTCTCACACCCTGAACCTTAGGATTTTTTAACAGCATGTTCTCTACGACCACAGGTACTAGTTAGAAGGCAGAGTTTTGCTGGCACAATGACAGCCAGCATTCACAACCTTGAGGCCCTGCGAAATCTACAAATCTCTTTGGAATCATCAGACTTCACAGTGAAGGAGAAGTTTTAAGACTACTTCTTTGAAAACAGGCAATTCATATACACTTCGTGGTTTGATCTTCTTCCCAGTCCTGCCATTCTGAAGCCAAGCCTTGTACAAGCAGCAGCAGGAAGCTGCTAGGGATTACCATTACTCGTTGCCGTCAAGTCGATTTGGACTCGTGGCGATCCCATTGTTACAGAGTAGAACTGCTTCATGAGCTTTTCTTGGCCGTAATCTCTATGGAAGCAGATTGCCAGGTCTTCCTTCTGCAGTGCTATTGGGTGCATTTGAACAGCCAACTTTTAGTTTAGTGGATGAGCACAAACTGATAAAGAAGACACAAGTCATCTTTGACTACCATGTGATCCAGCAATTCCATTCCTAGGTATATACCCACAAGAAATGTGTATGTCCACACAGAAACTTACAAATGTCCATAGCAGCATTATTCATAAAAAAACAAAATGTGGAAACCCAAATGTCCATCAGCTGATAAATGGATAAACAAAATGTAGACTATACATACAATGGACTGTTTTCAGCCATAAAAAGCAATGAAGTACTGATACATGCTACAAGATGAATAAACCTTGAAAATTTGTGCTAAATGAAAGAAGCCACTCACAATGGACTATACTTCGTAGGATTCCATCTACACAAAATATCCAGAATAGGAGCTATAGGAGCTCTGATAGCACAGTGCCTAAGGCATCTGACTGTTAACCAGAAGCTGGTGGTTCACTCCATGGAAGCAAGACTGGACAATCTACTTCCATAAAGATTTACTGCCTTGGAAACTCAAAGGGGGTTGCTATGAGTCAGGATCAACTCGAGGGCAGTGGGTTTGGATTTTTTTTCCCCCTGGGTCATAGAAATAGAAAGATTAGTAATTGCCTACAGCTGGGGGGAAGTGGAAGCTAAGGGGTATGGGGCTTGTTTTGGGGTTAATGAAAATGTTCTGAAATTGGACTGTGGTGATAGTTGCACAACTCTGTGAATATACTAAAACCACTGAATTGTATTCTTTAAAGGGATGAATTGTATGGTAAGTGGATTATATCTTAATAAAGCTG